CACAAACAGCTGAAGTTGTGCAAATGCAGGGACATCACCCAACTTAAAAGTCATCATTTAAGCATCAGACTCAGGAAAATTCACTTCTGAATGTTCTGATTTTGGGCTACCCAAACTTAACACCCCAAGCGCTGGCAATCACATTTCACCAATTAGTCCCCTTCTACTAAGAAGCAGGAATGCCTTCCAAATGTTTATGAGCTGAAGCCACCTCTCAGTGGGTTCTAAAGTTCTGAAGACCCTAAAGCAATTATAGCTTTCCTGCTGCTTTGACATTTCAAATAAGTCCTATCGAACACATTAGATGTGGAAACATAAATCCAAAGGTGTCACTCTTCCACTTACAATCATAAGCCTACTTCCAGGGCTCTTCCTTGGTTCCAAATTCTTTTTGAGCTTTCAAGGGGAGACAGGAGAGCTATTTACACTTCTGAGAGTTCCTCTGGGATGGCCGCTGCACTCCTCTATCTATTTTCCTGTCCGAAGCTCATACCCATTCTGCAAAGTACTGATGGCTAACTGAGGACTAGGCAGGGTTCATAAACACAAACATTGCTGAAGTGGTAGTTACACAGAACTATTTCCCCACCAGGTAAGCAAAGTCTGGGCATATGCTAATGAACCGGTTCTCCCTGAAGTTTGAGGAAGATGGTCACTGTCTCATTTTGCACAGACACAAAGCAAGGCCATGGGTGCTAAGTGACATCAGAAGAGGTTACAGAGAAGCCCTCCCTCAAATGACCATGCCGCAACTTAAGTGAAGAAAAGCACCCTGTTCGCAGCTTTATGCTCTCCAGGCAAATATTCCAGGGCAGCCCATCCAACTATTCCAAAGTTCAGACCGAACTGCACTGTCAAAGCCTTGGAGTGACATAGCTCTAGAACATACAGGCAAGATGCCTAACTAGCAGGATGAGAGGAGACATGCCACAAACTAGTGCTGAGAAGGCATGACACTCCAGTCTCATGAACAGTCCACCAGCCTTCAGACTCTTGATCTGATGAGAAGGGTGAGAGTGTAGCTGAGGATCCTCTTCCCCTTACCTAATTCTAAATAAATAAATAAAAACAGGGCTCTTAACTGCCCACAAGGCTTCCCTCGGTTGTTTCTGATATTTACCACTTTCTGCAGGCCCTCTATACCACGCCACTTGGCGGGATTCTTAGGCAATCCTTTAACTACCACCCAATTCATTTAGCTCTGCTATTCCCTACAAGAATGCACTCAATAACGTGAACAGTGGCTTGATGAATAACTCCACATCTATCAAAGAACTGAGCTTGCAGACACTGAGCAGGGGTAGGAGGAAGCAGCGGGCGTTTCTCCAGCCACGCGACAAGGCATTTCAGACACCCCCAACTCGTCTTCCTTGTGGCCACGGATAAGGCCCAGGGGACCAGCCAAAGCCACTCACCAACCTAGAGCAGTGATTGGACAGTGAGATGCTGAGCAGAGGGGTCTCCTGTGTGAATGGGTATGAAGAGGTGGGTGAAAAGTGTCAGGGAGACCAAAGAGGAAGGGGATCCCCTCTTTCAATACTCAGTTGCCCAGATGCTTTCCACGCTGTGTGGCGCTCTCAGCACACGTCAGCTGCTCATCGTGCAGGCACAGGAAGCGGAGGACAATGGCTCATAGCTTGTCTTCCTTTGGGAGCAAATAAATGGGGCTGAGATTGCTGGCTCAGCTCCACAACATTTGGTACACTGGTATCTGTTCGCACTGGCTCTGTGTGTGGCTCAATAGAAACCCTTCCAGCTCTCTCTGCTAAGGCTTGGTCCATTTGACGAGACAGTCCCCCTTCAACAGTACAGATCCCATGAGGCTGTCGGCAGAGTCTGATTCTGCAGCTAGAGCTACCTGAAGGGGCTGGCTTCCTCTCTCCCCCACAGAGATCCTCCCCCCTGGTTTCTTTGCCGATCAACTCCTTCTCTTCACAAGTGAGTTTACAGGCGTCAGACAGAAAGAGGGGGAGAGAGAGAAAAAGAGAGAGAATGCACAAGCTCAGCTGATCAGCCTTCCTCTTTCCAGGCTGATGAGATGTGGGAGCAGATCCTTGAGGCAGCATTGACGATCCCCCCCGTTTAAATCACTACACTTTCTGCTCAAAAGGAAAATCTAGAAGAAAATTGGACCAGGCTTTTAGGGAGCAGAACAATACCTGACGGTGAGGTATTCGTTGCTCCCTTTCCCTGGGGAGTCAGTTTCCAAGAGCTGGAAGAAGACTAGACGTTTGCAGTTCCAGCCTTTTCCTTCCTAGCTCTTCTAACTCAACTATCACTACTGTCCCAGCCAGCCTCCTTAAGTAGGGGACTCACCCCCCCCTCCTGTAACAAAGCCTCGGCGTGGGCCCAGGCACAATGACGCCACTGTTGGTAGCCCTTGATGAGAGGTCAAGGTCGGGAAAGCTTGGAAATTATGAGCGGAGAATTCAGACATTCAAAATTCCTGCAGTGAGACTGATTTGTATCTCTAAGGCTATAATTACCCTTTCATGTAAGAACCCATCCCACTGGCCATGACCAATAGCCCCCAGGCAATCCCCAGCAGTGGGTGAACACGGGAGGGGCCCCAGAAACCCAAAGGCCCCAGAAGGGGGGGGTCACCTCATATCCAAAAGAGGAACAAAATAAATTAAAAAGTAAGTCTGAATAATTATAATCATCATCAATAATAATCCACAACCACAGCTAGAGGAGAAAATAAATGGGCAGCCCGAGAGCTCGGGAGTAGCATCCTCCGCAAAAAACAAACGGTAACACAGGTCACAGACTTCCAAGCGCGAACACGACCACTGGAGAAGGCCCATGCTTTGGCAGAGAATGCGAATACTATAAAAGTTTTTTTGTGGGTTTTTAGATTTTTTTTTTCACCTAACAAACTAACACCGTTCAACACTGGGTTCGACACAGGGAGGTGGAGCCTTTTTGTTTGTTTGTTTGAAGTTGAGACATTTTTTTTTTCATTGCAACACCTGGTCACCTGAACAGCCGGACGGACGAACACAAAGAAATGGAGTCGAGGACGGGAGGTGCAGTGTGGCCACGCTGCGAGTTGGGACAGCTGGATTGGTTTGGCTGGGTTTGCTGATTTTTAAAAATTGCATTAATATGATCATTATTATCATTTTGGAATCATGTCTGGTTGGGTTTTTTTTTTCTTAGTTTTTTTTCCCTTTTTTGTTTTTTTTTGTTTTCGGGGTGTGGTTTTTTCCTTTTTTTTTTTTGCAAACACAGGCACTGAAAATGAAAGACGGGGGGATGGGGAAGGGGACACGAGCATGCGGGCACGTGCTTGTCACCGCTGCTCCCGGCTAGCGGCTCAGCTCAAATCACCGTCTCCTTCGAGATGAAACCAGAACAGCCGGCATAAGTTCTGCAAGACACAAGCGTGGAGAGAAAGATGCCGTCACTGATTGCCTGAAAAATCCAGGAGGCTCAGGGGACTCATCTGAGCCTTCTCCTACTGGGCAACGACAGCGGTTGGGCTGGTTTCCCAGTGTTTGGCAAAAGCTGACCGTTTTCAGCCTCCCTCACACACAAGCCACTCGCTTGTTCTGTATATGGGCCCCTTCTGCACTTTTCGTTGGTTGCCTGTTCTCCAACGACAGAAAAGATCTTCCACGTAGAGTGACTGGGCAAGGGCCACCTGTTGCCTAGCTTACCTTCACTGGAGTGGTGCCACTGGTGCTCCCGAGCAGTGGAAGTGGACATTCTGCCACTTGCCATCACGGCGGTGCCAGACGCGGGTCTCCTCAGACTGGCAAGTGCGAGGGCGGCCCTGCCCATCAATGTACTGCGTCAGGCGGATGTAGGCGATGCATGCGGCGTCTTCACCAATGACGTGCACGTGAGGGTTCAGGATGGTTGTGTGAATGGGCTTGTTGTTCTTAGATAACACTGGAACAGCACAAACAGGAATGTGGCCTGAGTTCATGGGGCAGAAGGTTGTTGCCGGGGGGAGGGGAATGAGCATAGGAGCAAAGAGGCGAAGAAGCCGGAGGGAAACCGGCACAAGCAACAAGACCAGACCTTTAACATCGTGACCTGGGAAATCTACTTCACCCCATCTCTGTTTATTTTAAATGTTTCAACATCCGGCCTGATGAAGAGTTCTGGTGAGCTCAAAAGCTCATACAACATTCTGTGTCAGTTTGGTTGGTCCTGTTAAAAGGCTGTATATAGATTTCCCTGTTTTTGGATTTATTTATTTTTCTGCATGGGCCAATTTGGCTGTTTACAGTTTTGTTCAGTATCCCTGTCTGAGAGCCCTGCACTACAATGCCTCCTTTTTGCTGGCCTTGCAGGACAACTCCTCTGTTGTAATGGGTGAGTGTCTAAAGGCTCTAATCAAGCTTTCTTCTCAATACGTGCACTAGTTTGCTACATGCAGGGTTGCATTCAAACATGTTGAACACCCAGTCACAAGAGGCACCCTCTCAGGAGAGTCTAGGCGGGCTCTAAGAATGAAACTGGCCGCTACGAGCCTTATGCATCTAACGCTTTTGCATGGGCACCAGGATTCAGCATAGCTACAGGTGCCTAAATCACGCGGGACGGAGGATCTTGGCACAACTCCAGATGATCCTGCTCCTTAAGATCTACCAGTGAGGTCCTGCTCAGAATACCATTGGGAGTGGATGCAGAATTAGTATCCACCAGGAGCAGGGTCTTTCTGTTGGCTCTCGAACACTAAGGAATTCCTGGAAGTCCATCTTTCTCATTTTGGAGGCAGCAGAAGAGTGGTATCTTTCGTGCTTTTGGTAGTGGAGTTTCATTTACTTAGGGAATTCCTTTTTTCTGGCTCCTATGTTTTATGGCTGCTTGTAATAGATTTGCTTTTTTAAATTTATTTCACTGGAACGTTTAGTTGAAAGATGATATGAAAGTCTTGTAAATGGAGGTGAGCATCCCCAAATGAGGCACTGGCAGTTCCCGGGGAAGGCTCAGGCACCCATTTGTCATCCTCTCCCCATAACTGAGGCAGGCTGGATTGACGGAAGAGATGGAAACCTTTTAAGGAGGAAATGAGGTCCTGGGAGAGGATGGAAACCTTTTAAGGAGGAAAGGAGTTCCTCATGTGGACAGCCTTCTAGTTTGGGAAGGAAAGGGGGTCCTGGGAGATAAATCATTTTGCTAATGGTCAGGGAAAAGCCCAAGTGTCAGGCCTGGTTTCAGTTTGGGAGAAATCACCTGGTGTTTTTCCCTTGGGGGAGGGGAGAACAACAAAGGGTGTGAACCCACAGCCAAAGTATAACAAGATGTACTCACAATTTTCAAAGTAAAATCTGTGGAAGTCCATTCCTTCCACAAGGTTGCCCAAGGCTTCCGGTTCAAATGAAGTGAGGCCTGGATCACAGATTTTTCTAGAAAAGCAGAAAACAGAGAGAT